TTTCATCATTTTATCTTTACTATTAATGAAATTATTAATAAAAATACCCCCTCAAGAATCCATCTTTAACATCCCTCTACATATACCAATAACCAAGGACACTTGGATAAAATTACATTTTTGTCATATTTTGAGTTTCTCTACTTGCTCCCAAAGTTTAACTACTTATTTCAGAAACACCCTGTATATTGAAAATCAAAAGTTTATACTTATTCCATAGGTGTCCACGCACGAATTAAAATTAATCAAACTATAGGAGATAGGATATAATTTTTGAATCCCTTTCGTACCTACAAAACTTACAAAAATAAATTGCAATCATCCTTCGAGCGATGCTTAGATATAAATTAATTCAATATTAATTTTCCCGTCGTTTCGAATGAATCTCGACCGGTCGTTTAACAAATTGCGTTTGTACGTAGAAACGTCTCGGAACATCATCGAATCGCTTATGAACGCATCTCGTCCGATTCCTTATTCGATCATCCAGCATGCTCATGATGACGAACGTCCCCGTCGGGCACGTAATTATACGCACAAGAGTTGCCGGGGCCGGGATATATCCAACGGATCCTTGTAAATATATAAACCCGTTTCGTTTTGTCGTATATCAACGTTTTTAGCGTAACAAGCAAAGACATAAAAGCACCATTTAATGGTTCGGCTCGATGTGCTTTCGATAAACCGGAATCGGATGGCGTTTTCGACGTTAATACGTCTTCGGGAAAATGCGTAATTTGGTGTGTTTGTCGTGTGATGAACGACCCTTTATATATATTTACCTACTACTTTCAAGTAAATAATGATTAATGTACTCCAAAGTTGCGTTGAAATAGTAAAATTGAGCTTTAAGGGCGCCATTTTAGGGTATTTTTAAATGGGAAAACATGGGTTTAGTGATTCCAGTAAGATTCAAATTTGGCTTTATCAATTTATTGGATCTTTCTTATATCTAATATAGAGACTCCAAGCAATGATATCTTCTATTTTTAATCTCTCCTACTTCATTATATATTTAAGAAAATTGCAATCAAAAACTGCCATTTATTTGTAATGTTATTTAAATGGCAAAACGTAATTCTAATAAGACTCGAGTTTCCTCTGAATAATTTTAGTAGGATGAAAAATACTTATAACAGAACGATGTCTCCTAGTTTATATATTTATCCACAGGCTGTATTATATTAAAAAAATTAATTAAAGAGTTTTAGCAAATAGTGATGATAGATTCCTGAAAAATCATGGTGTCGCCTGACATAAATGTCAAATCACAGAACAATTTTGTAAATTTGACTAGTGACAGCAGTGCGAATAGTTTCCGTTTTTTAGATATTTTTGGATAATTTGCACTTTTTAAGGAGAGGTAATATGAAATAAGGTATTTCCAGTACACCGGAATACATTTAGAACACTTTAATGACTATTTTTAAAACCCTACTTTTATATTTTCAATTTGAAGGGAAAAGAATTGATTTTAAAATATTCTGAAAAGGATATCTTATTTTACTTTCTTGTATACGTTTGATTTTATGTCAAGTGTAATCAAACACGGAACATCTACTAGTGAGTTAAACCAATCTCATTCCATCTATTGTGGAAAAATTTAACCAAAAACAGTTCTATATTACCCCACGAATTAAAAATTTGAGGGCGTGCTTTGGCGGCCTTGATGGTATTGATGTGTATTAAAAAATTGGATTTTTTATTCGTCTACAGATCGATTGTAATAGCTTAATACACCAAGGACAATTGCGCTGTCGCAAATATCTCTAACAATTAACATTAATATTCCTGTATACTACTGGATTAATCAAAACAATTTTGTTGTTTCTGTCGAACTCTATATATAACACTATTAATAGACGATGATGTATCGATGATTATTTTGTTATAATTACTTTTTGATTGGCCAACGTTTCGGTTAAATTGGATAGTTGTTTATATTTTCCAACGTTAGATTATAATTCGATAAGATAATGATTTTATCTCATTGCTCGGAAATAATTTGAAAATCTCCTATATCTGCTACTAACTTCCATTATTCAAATTTTACCGACTTTTATTAAAGCGATAATGTGAAATTAATAAATGATATATTTGCGATTCGCATGACATTTTGAAAATACTCTCAATTATGGCTTATTTAAGTAAGCGTGAGCGAATGTATTGATGATGACGATATGAAAAATATCTCTATTACTTTATCACTATTATCAAGTGGAAACTGTTGCTTGTTTTTATCGAATAAAAATTTCGTAAACTATACTAAACGAGAGAACAGGTATATATTTTCAACATCGATTTCATCATTACAATCCATTCGATCAATTCAGCGCGTTTGAAACCTTAATTTTCCGTAAGTACCTACCTGCACAAAAATTATTCCTCTTATATACAGCAATTTTTCTATAACTCTTCTATCGTCTTATAAACTTATCTAATTAAAACTTACACGACCTCCATCGTACAAAAAAAAAGTTTCTAATAAAAGCCTTATTAATTAAAACAACTATAATCGTATACACACCTCCTGTAATAAATCAGGTATTTTTTAATAAACGAAACCAATACTTTTAATTGCCTTTAATGATCTAAACCGAACGATTAACTAATGTTACAAGATATACATATATTAAGGAAACGTCCGAATTAAAATATCTGTATGATGTTATAACGTCTTATATTTAATTGTAATTAAAATAAAATCGTGCATGATAGCTAATAAATGAATAGATACCTATCTCAATTCACCTCTATTAATATACATATTCTACAAATCGAAGGTTATACTCTTCCTAGGAATATTACACTACGGTTTTTTATTTTCTTGTAATTGATTTCGCTAATAAAAATTTCTTCTTATTCATGCAATCCTCATCTGATGCATTATACTGTTTATCTATTTTATGCGATATGGCTTTCCTAAAATTATATTAATTTCTATTGAATATGGGTAATTGAAATAATCCTAAATGAATTTTTGTAAAATTTAATATTCCTATACGGCAATTAAAGTTAAAATAAAAAAAAATTAACGGAATCATACACCTTACACAACACCAACAATAAATTTCTGAAAACAATTTGTTTATCAGCGAACTCTGTCGTAAATTTCAATATCTACAATAACATCAGTAGACGCACGTGTTTATCTTGCATTAGTTTTCGTTTAAAAACTGATAACGGATTAATATTTTCTCGATTTGATTACACACATTAAAACTGCGATTTTAAAAACCCCAAGTATACGTTATAAATTCTAATTTATGCAACGTGCAAAACGATAACGAGTTATGCGAATTAATGCGGTGCACATTTTTTTTTATTGTCGCAGGATCTACTTGTGTGTTCTTTATGTTGTTACATTTCATATGCGATTAATTAGCGACAGGAAAAAAATCTTTAGGAAAGTGATTTATTCGTTCCAATTATTGATTGATGTGTTTTTTTTACTATTATTTTTTGCCTATTTATTCCCAGGAAAACGAGATAAATTAAGTTGACAAAATAATAACTAATATGAAAACATTGTATATTTACAAAGTATCGGATATAGTGCGTTCAATTTAAAATCTCGTGACGTCATTACCAGATTAACTTAAGCATACTTATAAATCGTTATACACTATTGGAAATAAATTTAAGCATAATAGGGAAATCAATATAATCGTACAGAAGCGCGGAGTGTGGTCCACTGGAACAATTAAATTTATTAAATTTTATCGACTCAAAAATGTTTTGCATATTATATAGTTGAAATGCCACTGCTCAGTTATTATTTAAAATGTCTTTTGTTAATTTGTTTTTATTTTTAATTTTAAATGATGTTTATGCCTTTTGGAAACTAATTTTGATGAGTAATTTTACAAATAATTCGTTGTATTAAATGTTTATTCTTTTATGCAAAACATTTTTGAGAGTGTATACAGGGTGTTCACAACTTATCCGACAAATTTTAACCACATATGCACTGTTACGAGAGAAGTTAATTTCCCAAAAAAAAAATGTAATAAAAGTCTTACAGAAATCGAGATAATAAAATATTAGTTTAACAGTTCAATTACTTATACAAGATGTTCAAAATTGTTCCCATTTATTGCAATGCAAGCTTGGGTGCTTGTTTTTTTTTGTTTTAACCATTGTTTTGGTGCAACATTTGCTACAGTAAAGTATTAAGGCAAAATTATGAACGCAAAATGCAGTATTTATTTTTCAATTTTTTATTGAAACTCGGGTTTATAATTTTATTTCTGTAGGACTTTTATTACATTTTTTTTGGAGAAATCAACTTCTCTCTCTTTGAGAAATCTCAAAAAAAATGTAATAAAAGTCCTACAGAAATAAAATTATAAACCCGAGTTTCAATAAAAAATTGAAAAATAAATACTGCATTTTGCGTTCATAATTTTGCCTTAATACTTTACTCTGGCAAATGTTGCACCAAAACAATGGTTAAAACAAAAAAAACAAGTACCCAAGCTTGCATTGCAGTAAATGGGAACAATTTTGAACATCTTGTATAAGTAATTGAACTGTTAAACTATTATTTTATTATCTCGATTTCTGTAAGACTTTTATTACATTTTTTTGGGAAATTAACTTCTCTCGTAACAGTGCATATGTGGTTAAAATTTGTCGGATAAGTTGTGAAACACCCTGTATACAGGGTGGTTCGTAAGTAATGGTCCAAAAGTAAAGAGGAAGATTCTGGGACTCAAAATATTACGATCTAACCCAACTTGCTTTAGTAAAATGTTGAAATTAAAAAAGATACAGAGTGTCAAATTATGAAATCAAAAAAAATATTTTTCGCAGCAGTTCGAAAGATTTTGGATGTACAAAAGTGAAAATTTGAAGACAGGTGTTTCAATGCATCATAATATGATAAAAACAATCTAACAAAAGACATTTCAAATAATAAAATAGCCAGTGGTATAATAATAACCAAAACATTTTTGAGTATGTGTATAGCTATACTATAAACGTTCGTTTGTCCATAGGATAATGGAAGATCAGGCGACGTCATCGCCGGTACCAAACAACCACTATTCAGCGTGTCTATCGCCATCGAACACCCCATCGCCCCTTCTGCAACCGCAGTACCGGTACGACTACCAGGAGGAGATGATACCGGCCTCGCAGGTGATACCGCAGGTCATACCGAAGGGCCAGGACCCGTGGGGCGCGATCGCCGATCAAGTGTACGATTACAGGCACCACCAGTACGACGGGAATAGGTTCGCGACGGGCAACGATTACGTCCGATCGAATTATTCGGATACGATGTCGGTGTACGGCCAACGGACTAATTTCGTGCCGAAAATCGGCGGACAGGGACAGAAAGTGACGAAAGAGGCGCGCATTAGAAGACCCATGAACGCGTTCATGGTGTGGGCGAAGGTGGAGAGGAAGAAATTGGCCGACGAGAATCCGGATTTGCACAATGCCGATTTGAGCAAAATGTTGGGTAAGTCGATTTACCTATAAGATTCATGAACCGGTTGCACCAATACATCCTATATAGGTTATATTTTATCTAAGTCTAACTTAAATGTGTCATCAACTTAAGATTGGAATATGTTGCACCAAGTTCAAAATGGTTATTTTACCTACGATCCATTTTACTACTACTATAAGTTAGTTGGCAGGCGAACCTTGATCGAGACAGCTCAAACCAAGGTTAAAGCACTGAGGCCTCTAGCGGGCCCATTCATTGTGCCATTCCTGCTGCTTATGCATCCATGAAGCCGAGTCCCTCGATGAAGGCCTCAGTCCTTTTCAATGAATGCCTGTTTGTGTCTCCAGGGACTCCAAAAGTTCGTCTGCGTAGCGCAGTCCAATTCTGACACTCCAAAAGAACATGGTCCGATGGTTCATCCACCATGCCGCAGCCCCTGCAAACGGGACTTCCCTCTAAACCTAGGTTGTAGAGGTGTTTCCTCAGACAACAGTGCCCCGTTAGGAGTCCTGCTATCTTTTTTAACCTACTTCTTGGTAGTTCCACAGCTGCCCTAGCATGTCCATCAGTCCAGCCTCTAAGTAGGAGCTTGTACTGCCTAAGACCCTGCAGAGCATTCCAATAAGCGAGATGCTGATTTCTCATCCATTTCTCGATCCATTTTAACTTAGATAACAACTGGCAAATGAGAGAATGTTTCAATATAATTAGGTCTTATTCGAATTTGTCACTGCATAGGAACATCTACCACATTAATTTCTTCCTCTACATTATCTATTATATCTACATTAACTACAAATTTTTGAGGTTAAACATTTTCGTCTTAAGTCGTAGAAATCGACAACCTAGGATCTGTAATCGATTCGTATCACAGTAAAGAAATTTTTAGTTGGTGCAACAGTATAAAATTGATTTTAGACTTATGTCTGACTTGGGATAGGAATTCATCCTATAGGATGCTTTGGTGCAACTGATGGGCATCAAACTATATAATGAGTCCCTTATAAGAGGGCCGGTTGTTCTACTAAAGTCGATCAACTACGCGGTGTTACCTGATATTGACTGATTCTGGGTAAATCCTGATGGGTAAATCCAGTGCTCGATTGTTATTTGTTAACTTCGATTGATAGAATCAAAAACTGCATGTTTAATATCCATTATTGCCGCGGGTTTCATTAGTTTGACGCCTAATTAGAGTCTTACGTTTCCTTATTTGTTCGAAGATGATAAATTTGAAAATATGATATGATATAAAGTAATTCCACAGACAGTAGATATCATTATTTGGTCTATAATAGTAAAAATTATGTTTTGAAATAACCCCAATCCATGGCACTACAACAAAGCATAGACCATTTTAATCCCACATCGACCACGAATCAGTAGATCCTGGTGTAAACAAAGTGTTAAATCGAGATTGTCTTTTCGTGCAACATCTCATGACTTATAGCACGGGGTTAACACATCAGGATCAATTGATACAGGGCCCAATCCCCCACAAAATTTTGTGCAACCGGGCCTTAATAAAGAACCTAAATAAACTTAAAATTTCAACACCTTAATGAATCAATATCAAAAGCCTTGTACGAGTACAAACTATAAAATAATGAGATAAACCCACTTGTACGTCCATAATATTTTAGAACGCATCTATAAAATATGATTTCGTATTAGACAAAATAATTTTATTGATCTGATACTACGTTAGGTACTTATCCATAAGCGGTACCATCGCAGCTAACATAGTAACCATTCACAGCTTATAGGTATTAAATTTGTTGAGTTAAATGTCGATTTAAATTTTAATCAACTACCTACAATTACACAGATATACGAAATTAAATTGATAATAGATGCACGCGGTACTACCTATTTCACGATTCGCTGGCAATTTATTGCACATCGAGCGATATGCCGGCCAAATAGACAGAGACAGAGAGAAAGAGAGAGCGTAGGATTTCGGAGTAGTACCTACCTAATTTAAAAGCGAACACACACACAAGGCGGGGGGTACTTACTTACCTATACCGTACCTCGACGCCGATGGATTTTTCATCGCGAACGCCGGGGATTATCGGAACGGCGTAGCGTTGGCAACGTCGCCGATCATCGGATGCTCGCAAAGAGCAAGATTTGTGCATCTCATTAGGCAGGGATTAATAGGCTCGGAGACTGCGGTACGGCCGGCCCTCCCAGCTCATTGGTCGATCGCCGGCTGGCCGAACCAATCGAGCTCGGCCTCCAATTATGCCTGTTTATTTCGTTTTGAGGTCATCTGATGTTAGAAAATGGCAGTACCCAGTACCGGTGTATGTGTAACCTACGGTTTTTGTCGCAACTATACCTATAAGCCGGCTCGTTTCTAGTCGATCGGGAAGTCGCGGTTTTCTATTCTATTATAAAGGTACACGATTGACTACATTGACGTACCTAACTAATTCGCAACGTATTAGGTACTACCTAATCCTTCAAACGTTTTCAATGAAATTGATTTATTATGTATTTTTATACAGCTAAACAACCAGTTAACTTCTCAGATATCTACTTATACGTTTATGGAAAGTACTATTGAATCAAGCTTATATGCGATCGTACCAATAATAAGTAGATACTATAACTTTCCACAAAATTTCTCAATTTTTCTATTCTATTATAAAGGTACACGATTGACTACATTGACGTACCTAACTAATTCGCAACGTATTAGGTACTACCTAATCCTTCAAACGTTTTCAATGAAATTGATTTATTATGTATTTTTATACAGCTAAACAACCAGTTAACTTCTCAGATATCTACTTATACGTTTATGGAAAGTACTATTGAATCAAGCTTATATGCGATCGTACCAATAATAAGTAGATACTATAACTTTCCACAAAATTTCTCAATTTTTCTATTCTATTATAAAGGTACACGATTGACTACATTGACGTACCTAACTAATTCGCAACGTATTAGGTACTACCTAATCCTTCAAACGTTTTCAATGAAATTGATTTATTATGTATTTTTATACAGCTAAACAACCAGTTAACTTCTCAGATATCTACTTATACGTTTATGGAAAGTACTATTGAATCAAGCTTATATGCGATCGTACCAATAATAAGTAGATACTACTTTCCACAAAATTTCTCAATTTTTCTATTCTATTATAAAGGTACACGATTGACTACATTGACGTACCTAACTAATTCGCAACGTATTAGGTACTACCTAATCCTTCAAACGGTTTCAATGAAATTGATTTATTATGTATTTTTATACAGCTAAACAACCAATTAACTTCTCAGGTATCTACTTATACGTTTATGGAAAGTACTATTGAATCAAGCTTATGCGATCGTACCAATAACAAGTAGATACTACTTTCCACAAAATTTCTCAATTTTTCAAGATTATTATAGCGGGGTCGCCGAGTTGTACCACGGGATAGCAGGTAGGCCTAATCCTACTACCGAGTTGTACCACCGAATTTTCTAATGAGGCTTAACGGCTTAAAAAATAAAACCCGACAATAACCATTAACAATTTTATTATAAATTAGATACAAAATTATAGTAGAAAATAAAATAAAATAAAATAAAATACACTAAAATACAATAAAATAAAATACAATAAAATACAATAAAATAAAATAAGCTCTACTGCGGCAAATAGTAAAAACTTAAAGACTTTACAAAATCAAATTTATTAATTTTGTTTTCTTTAAATTCATTAATTTTTAATGCTATAAAATCGAATTTCTTTCTTGTAACACACTTCAGTTTTTTATTATTTTCTGATTCACTGGCAGTCTTAATTTTAGCGAACGTCTCACTTTGTATATTTATTAGCATGTCTGTGAAAAGAAATATATTTGGGTGAGGAGAATAAAAACTGTTTTTCAGTACCGAATGAAACTACTTGTATTCATTAGATAGTCCTAAATTTAAAATTTTACGGTACCACGCTTGGCATAAATGCTATCCCGTGGTACAACTCGGCGATCCCGAGCGTATTAAGGCCATTAGGGGTAATTACGTCGTGGTACAACTCGGTAGTCAATGTAATCCGGATAAAGAACGGTAAGGGATTAATTCAGGTAGTCGTGGTACAACTCGGTAGTCCCCTATTATAGTATATATACGTATGTAAGTATTGATAGGTAAATAGGTATAGTAACTTGGATATTATAGTTTCAAATTTATAAGTATAAAACAAAATCCACTTAGATTATATTAGCTATAAGTTATGACGTTTTTACAAGTATTGCTAGTGCTAGTACCTGTATGCAAGTATACAGTATAGTTGCATAAAGTATCCCCTGAAGAACGCTTATGGTATAGCTCGCATTTTCATGCTTCGTTCTAATCTATTGGCTATTTATGTAATCATGCAACTATTACTATTAAACTGTTTAACGTTGATTGAATGTTGTATGGAGTGCCGCTTTTTTATGCTATTTAATTATGCAGTACCTAGTATATAATATACTATTTCGCGTGTACTTAAATAAAACGATTTTTATTTCAATGCGTTCCACATTTAAGAGCTGTAAAAGCAGTAGGAATTGCTATAGGTACTTACTAAGTTGATGTTATCTTATTACATTTGTAAGATTTACACATAAGTATACAGAGTGGTTACTAAACATCGTCATGCAGGGGGTATAATTGCACATATAGGGTGTTGCAAAAAATTCAAGATTTTTGTTATTTCTTTTTAGAGCTCCTGATGCAATTTTTGAGACATTCAGCTCAATAACTTTGATGGTATAGGCCATCAGTATAGGGTATAATTTGAGTAGATTTGTTGTATTGTAAAATAAATCATTTCTACAGAAAATCATTTTTAGTTTTTTTCTCGATAACGGTCGCAGAAACGAAGAGAGTTTCTAATTAACAAAACAGAAAATGGATTTTGTATTTTCAATTTTGATTATGTTTATAAAGGATTTCCGATTCTACTATAATAATATGTACCCCTAATTTGGGTGGTCAATTAATTTTTTGTAAAAGGCAACT